GGGACGCCGACGCTAACGCCGACGCCAACGCCGGGGGTATAGCATAAGCTCATCTCGACTTCGTCGAGGTGAGCTAAAAAAGGTAGACAAAAATTGTTCTGTTTTAGAATACCTGGGAAAAGCAGACTACACTGATCTTTTTTTTTTTTTTTTTTTTTTTTTTTTTTTTTTATTGCCCCATCACATGTCCAAGTATATAATAGTGCCAGGGTTGGGGCCCTGGGTTCACTAAGTAACATACATAATACACATATATATTACACAATCATAATGTGACAGGACATTTTTTTCACATATCATTCACACACCTTTCGCTACATAACATGCATATGATTATATTTATAATAATATTTAACAACTGAAATCTTAATATAATCAGTGAAAAGTTGATGTACATCTGTAACTGCATTGTTTTTTCAAATATATTAATCATATTAAAACATTATCAAATTCCATCGTTTTTTAAAACTGTCCATTTCCCCATTTTTCTTATAAATATATTTTTCACAATTAAAATAATACATAACCTCTTGTTTGACCCTCTCAAAAGATGGTACACATTTTTTGCATCTATTTCTATAAATATGCTTTTTTATTATACATACTACTAAATTAAATATATTGTTATATTTATAATGTTTTCCCAACAAAACATCAACTTTGTTTAGAGATATATCAACTCCAAACTGTTCTTTCATCCAATCCAGTACATTTTCCCAAATTTCTGCAACACACTCGCATTCCCAAAAAAGATGACAAAGTGTCTCTGGTGTTTCTTACAAAAACTACATAAATCTGAGTCAGTAACACCAATTTTGTGTAAATATGTATTTGTAGCTAAAATTCTATGTACAATTCTATAGTGGAACCATCTTAACTGTATATCATTTGTTATGTTAAAAAACAGAATGTTTTGTTTTTTCCACCAAAATTCATCAACATTAAGTTCTAAAATGTTTTCCCATTTCATTTCACTTTTTGGTTTTTTGTATTTCTGACTAATAAAAACATCATAGAAATCTCTTGCCCCTTGTTTGCTTTTTGTTATTGTTTGTAAGAATTTTGGGAAGAAAGGTTGATTTCTTTGAATTATATTATGATCATAATTCAACTGTAATTTTCTAATACAATTTGTTATGCCTAAAAACATTGTAAAAGGTGTTTTTAAATCATATTGTTTACAAAAGTCTTGGTATCCTAACAAAGTCCCATTTGTATCATAAAAATCAAAAACAAATTGTATACCTTGTCTCAGCCATGACTTATAACAAACACTTCTGTTATTTATACATATTGATGGATTATACCATATGGGACTTAAAATAGATGTTTGATCATCAATACATAATCTCAAATCCAACAATGCTGAAAAAACATCATTCCAGAAAACATTTTCCGTATCTTTCTTAAGTTTTTTTGAAAAATCCCTACCATAGATAACTAAATATTTAATGTCAGGAATTAAATCTTTTAGCAATTCTTTCCAGGCTGATTTACATGAACTATCAAACAATCTGCGAATCCATGTAATTTTTAAACTTTTACAAAATGAATCAAGACATGTCATTCTCATACCACCGTTTTCATAACTTTGGCATATAATATTTTTAGCAACCCTAGCCGTTTTGGTATTCCAGATATAATGAAAAAATATAGCTTCAATTTCTTTGAGTTTTTCTTTAGAAGGGCTCGGTAAACTAATTAATAAGTGACTAAATTTAGGTAAAAGCAAGGTTTTTACTACTGTTATACGACCTGCCGTTGATAAATGTCTTCTAGACCATGATGATATAAGCTTTTTGACGGAATCAATCTTTGGCAAAAAATTCAAATCAAACATAGTGTTTGTGTCTAGATCTACACAGTATGCTATACCTAACACTGTAAATGGTTCCTGTGACCACATCAAGTTTTGATATTTATCACACAAGTTATCATCAGTATGAACAGTAGATCCAATCCTAATACATTGAGTTTTATCATAATTTGGTTTCAGTCCAGAGAATTTGGAATACTGATTGACTAAAGACAAAGCTGATCTAATTGAGTCTTCTGAACCATCCATTAATAAAACTGTATCATCAGCATATTGTAGTAGTTTATATTCTTTATCTTCAATAACAATGCCCTTTATTAATTTATTATTTCTAATCATAATTCCCATTATTTCTGCACATAGTAGGAACAAGTAAGGTGAAATTGGGTCACCTTGCCTACAACCTCGTCCCATTTGGAAAAATTCAGAAAAAATACCATTTTGAATAACACATAACTTAGGTTCTCTAAACAAAATCTTTATCCATTTTAAAAAATTCTCACCAAAATTAAAAAATCTGAGTACTTTAAAAATAAATCTCCAAGAAATAGAGTCAAATGCTTTCTCAAAGTCAATCAATAAAACAAGACCTGAATGATCATTCTCTTTACAATAATGTATGATGTCATATAATAACCTTGAGTTTTCACCAATATATCTACCAGCAAGAAACCCTTTTTGATTTTCATGTATTACTTTTGACAGAATTGGTTTCATTCGATTTGCTAAGACACTAGATAAGAGTTTATATGTAATGTTCAATAATGTAATTGGTCGCCAATTTTTTAAGTGTTCCCTTGGCTTATTGCCTTTTGGTAGAATAGAAATAATTCCAAGCATCTGAGTATAAGATAATTGACCTACTTCATAGCTATAATTAAAGGATTTGAGAATATATGAATTAATATCTGTCCAAAAAAACTTGAAAAATTCTGCTGTAAAACCGTCAGTTCCAGGTGTTTTGTCGTTCTTAAAATTTTTAAGAGCTTGAAGTATTTCTTGTTTTGTAATTTCAGCATTTAAAATGTTTTTCATATCATTATTTATTTTAGGAACCTCAAAGTTTTGGAATAAGTCTTCAATATTTACATCATCAAGCTCCTGATCTTTGTTTTCATATAATTTTTTGTAAAAGTTCCTTACTTCTTCTAAGATATCTGCTTGCTTATTTACATAATTACCATCATTATTGATTAAATTGCTAATATTTTTATTGACATAATTTCTTTTTTCTAAGGCACAAAAATATTTTGTAGGTTTCTCCCCATCTTCTATCCATTTACAATGACTTCTTAACAATAGCCCCTTCAATTCATATTTTCTAATTTCCTCTAATTCTGTCTCAAGGTCACTTATCATATCTAGATAAATTGACAAAGGGTAATTATTATACATATCATGTAAAATTCTAAGTTGATTTCCAATCTTTGCTTTGTGATCCCTCCTTTCTCGGGTCAAATTTGCAGATAATTGTATTGCCATATCCCTTATTTTCATTAATAGAACATCAAGAAAAAGATTATCTGGTATTCCTAACATTGATTCATCAATACGATATTCATTATCCGTTTCCCTTATAATTTTTTTAACATTTGTCACAAATTCTTTGTTTCTCAATAAGGAATTGTTAAAACGCCAGAATCCCTTTCCACGTTTAAATTCATTAATAGTAATATCTAATTCTATGATAGAGTGATCAGTCCTATAGCCTGGCATCATGTGAACATCATTTATAATTGATAAGAGTTCCTCTGATACTAAAAAAAAGTCAAGTCTAGCCTGTTTTACTGGGTTCTTCCTACTCCATGTATATTTTTTAGCATCTGGGTTTTTGATTCTCCAAGGATCTACTAAATTGAATTTTGATTTTAATTTTTCAATTTCAAGTTTATTTTTGGGATTGTTTTCTCTAACATAATTGTAACAGTCTAACTGGTAATCTTGTACTACATTCCAGTCTCCACACATAATTATAAAGTCAGTATCAAAAAAATCATCCATTTTATCACTTATTTCTGCATAAAATTTAGGATTATCTTTATTGTGACCATATAAATTAACCAAAGTGATTGAGTACTTGTTATCCACCATTATATTTGATATAATGAAATTCCCCTCATTATCACTATAAACTTTAGAAATTTTTATTTCATTTGTGTTATTAAAAAGGGTTAAAGTCCCTCTTGCATCTGATTTTCCTGAGCTGATGAGTATGTCATTACCCCATTGGGCATAAACTGAATTTTTCTCTAATTCTGTACAGTGGGTGTCTTGTAAACAATAAATAGATGATTTAAAATTTCTTAAATAGTTTAGGACATCCTTTCTTTTCATAGAATCATGTAAACCTCTGCAGTTTACAGAAGTAATTTTTAACTTAGTCATAGATTACACTACACAGTTGAATAAAGGCAAAAAAATATGCATGTTGCATACTCTCCATTCTTTCACACATATATCAAAAATGAAAAATACTTCCTGTATGGTAACAAAACAAATCAAGAAAATTCATGTATTACATCGCATTGGGTCTTTTTAATTTAACTTAGCCACCTAAATAAGATAGTGAACCGTAGTTCTCTCATAGAAAAAATAATAATAAATACAAGCTCCTCTAAGAACTTCTACCAGTAGTCTTTGTAATCTTTGTTGCAATTTAGGTATTTATTACATTAAAAAGAAAAAACCAATATGTCCCCATGTAATTTATACAGCAAACCATAATCTGCCCCAAACAAATATATATCCTGAGACATACTACATGTAAATATGTTACAAGTTATCAACTATGACATAACACAGTAGTTCACAGATAACGATACCAAAAATTCTCAATATTTTACAAGTTATTAACAACTAAGGCATAACTCTGAATTTTACAGATATCATCCAAAGCTCAAAACACTGGTATTTTACTTTTAAACATCTGCAGCATACCTCAATTTACCTCTTTAATAGCATCTAAAACATACTTATTATTTGACAAAGTAAACAACACGATACCAACTGTAGCATAACTCAGCACTTTACAGATATACAAAACCTTCACCATATCATACTCCTACAACCTGTCATCTCCTGCAAATAATCTTGTTCTTATCTAGATCAATTAGAAGGAATCACTAAAAGCGAGCCATTCTTTTTTCCTTTTTGTCGATACTCCAGAATCACATCGTCTTTCGTTTCACGGATTCTCGTCTTCATTCCTGATTTCCTGAGTTCGATATGCCTTTTGAGCCAGCTCTGCCCTCTTTCTCTTCAAATGCACGGGTAGATCTGTTCGTATTGCATAGCCTTTCGGTAGGGTAGTGTTTCTGGCATGATTTAATATCATATTACGGTCCTCCATAAGAACGAATTTAACAATGACTGCTTCTGGTGCTTCAGGTTTGTAACTGCTGTTGGGGTTTTTTGGCAACCCTGATGAGCGTTTTTAATCATTATAGACTCTGCTGTGGACATGCCCAATTTTTCACTCAAAAATTTCACAATAACCTCGTTTGAAACTTCATTCTCTGCTTTAGGAATGCCATAAAATAAGAGGTTGTATTTCCGAGATCTTAACTCTTGGTATGTAATATGATCTTGCAGTTCTTTTAAAAATAAAACTTGGCACCAACAGTTACCTTTTTACTTTGGGGTTGTATAACCTCTGTGTTTTAGCTTTTCTAAATCAGTTAATCGGTCATCTTGGTTTTGAAGCGCTGTTTTCATATCAGTTATCTCCTCCTTAATAACGATCAGCGTTTCCTCTACTTTTTTGTCAAGCGCAGTAAGCCTCTCGTTCATTGAACTCTCCAACTTCTGTATTAGATCAGAGAAAAGTTCCTTTAACTCTTTATTTGACACCTCATCGTTTTGCGCACTCTCCTTCTCCGACCCTTTCTTCGCACTCTGCACGAGCTTCCCGAATTTCCTTGTAAAGCAGTGACTAACAGTCTGTTGCATTTAACAAAGAGGAAAATACCTGAAATTCACCTAAAACACGAATGTCTTCACGTAATTAAGAAAACTATCTGCAATACCTCGTATCAAATATCAATGTTCACTTAGGAAAACAGAAAAAACGACCCTCTGCTCCTTCTTCCCACTTTACGCCATTTGCGCAGCCACACCGGGAAGTCGTTTCGCCACTACACTGATCTTGATTTATTTTTCAACAAGTCTGCAACGTGGACAAAAAACTACACTGATCTTGATTAATTTTAAACTGTCCACGTTGCAGACTGTCCTTGTTCAAAGTAAGTGTTGTAACTAGGTCTACAGGTGGAAATATTCGGTCAAAATAGAGCTGCAAAGCGTCTCTTCCTATCTTTGTGAGTTTCTCAAAAGTCTTGAAATTCACGTTACTTAATTCTGATTCAGACAGATTGGTACATTCATCTTGCTCCAGAAAGTCATCCAAATCTGGGAAATCAAAGCCATATAAAGACTACAGAATGCGTAAAAATCATTTCTTAAACAATTTCTCTTCTAGAAAAATAAGTCCTGTATCCATAATAATTTACTAAAATGATTATTCCATTTGGATACCTGAAATATCCGCTATAACATCCTGAAAATAATACAAAATATAATAAATATTTTTTGTATAAACAACTTTACATAATTTTTATATTAAGTAGACTAATGAAAAACAAAAAAGTATGTGCTATTGCAATCAATAACGTTAATAATGAATGATTAAGTTTCACTCACCAATTTCCAGTAAACTAGAAGAGAAGATTCGCATATTACGTGGTGATTGATCATGCCATGCATTGGACAAGTTATCTTCCCTTTTCTGCAAATATCTTTCTCTTCAAGAAAACAATCATCGTGTTCCCGAAACACTTCCTGCTTACAACATTGGTATCCAACAGTATATATATCAATTTTCTTGTGGAAATTCCCAAGCAGGTCTTTTAGTAAGCTTTCAACAGTGTTTCGTACTTTCAGTGCTACTTCTTTCATTACAAGAACATTGGTGGGCTGAAAAATCTGAAGCTGAATTGATGAATTGTTTACTGCTAGAGCGACTACATGTTGCCTATAATCAAAGCAGGCAACATTTTTGTACAAACAGAGTCCATTGTCTTTTAACACTCTCCATTCTCTATTGGTCCGTGTTAAACAAGCAACAATAAGACGGTAGTAGAAAAAAAATGGCAGAAACTGAAATTTAAAGACCAATACGGAGGTTTTACTATGAAGAGATCGAAAATAATTTTCTTCCTCAATTCCAAATGCTCGCTTGTTCATACAGGGAATGTAATGTGCATCAGCACCTACAGCAATTAGACCAAGACGCTGCATATATTGGAGAAGATTTGTTTTCTCTTGATGTCTGTCCCAAAAACTGACTTCGAAACGTCTGGTGCTCCATATATCAGTTAAAAGTCTGTCTAGGATGTGTCCACTTTCATAAAAATTCCACCAGTCCGTGTAATTTTCTACAATATCCCTGGCGTGGTTTGGGTCGGTAATAATATTCTTAAATGAATCAATAAACCATTGGATATCAATAATTACAGTTTCAGACATATTGTTGTCATTAAAGTATAGTAAGACGCCAATGTCATGGTAAAACTTCAGAACGTCTCCTATTTGGGTAATTTTTTCTTTGTTTCCACCAAAACATTTAGATGATAAATCTCCGATGGAAGTCATTCTGATTTTTTGTTTTCTGCTCTCTCTGAATACAATTTCACACAGAGCCCAGTCTGTAGGAATGGTTTCATTTTATTTATCTTCTTTAGCAATTGATACAATACACTTCTCTAGTTCTGTTAATGAATCATTGCAACATGCGCCACCTGTCTGAAATCCAAGGACAAAGCATCTTTTCCTGTCCAAGTGTCTTTTCAGATGTATGTTTAATTTCAAGTGGTCAAGTATACTGTTGTAGAAAGTGTCAGAATTCTGCAAAATACGGAATTTCTAAAATCTTCAAACAATGTATGCATTCAAAATTTTATTAGAGTAAATATTTATTTATATTGTATCTTTTAACTGTTTGATGCTGAGGATATGTGATAAATAATACATATAACAATTCCTTATCCTAGAACCTGCTCTTTAACTCTGTCCAGATGAGTTCCAATGATGATAACGGAGGCATCACTATCACAATAGGTGTGAACCGACTTAAGCCAAAACAGGAGGTATTCTGTGAATTCAAAAGTAAAATCTCTGATCAATAAGTGATGTCTATTTTGTGGTTGTATGCTGAGCCAGTGAAAGTCATCTTGTATGGAACCTGATCCCACCTCATATTTTCTGGAGGTCTGTGTTTGCTCCGCTCCTGTTTTGTATTGTTATTTTTTTAATTTCGGTATTTCAATACATTCATTACGATGCTTAAAATTCGATGAAGGGTTCTAATGTTTTCCAACATTTTGGTTTCGAACATTGTTGATATATTCTTTTAGTTTTTTGATTTAGTTAAGAAATCGATGTTGTTCCAGCTAGAACGACTGTAATTATTCACAGAAGAAAATAGTTATTTAAAGCAACAAAAGGTGTGAAAAATGGAAATTTTTGTAAGGTCTTTATGAGAATGCTTTTTTACGACAAGACGATTCCATGCTGCTATTATGAATATGCCAGTCAGAACCCTTGAAAAAATCTCCTTGAGAAAAAAAAAAGAAAGTCATGCCCAATTGAAAGACATTATCATTCTTAACCAACAGATCTATACTGGAAATTTTTAACAAGAGTTGCATATTCAAATTTTCAATTTTTATCTTGAGCTATTCATCACACAAATTAAACGAGTCTCTTAGGTTTAAGGTCTGATCTGATTAGTTGTGTTTCTTTTTTACATTCTTTTAGGAAAGCAAAATACTAGTATCCATTTTTGCTGTAAATAATATCTTTAAAAAAAGAATTATTTTTAATATTTTGAAGTTTCTACAATCCTTCTTAATCAATACGATTCTTTGTCACTTAAGCCTACTGTACACAAGCAATAGAGTTTTCCAAGTTAAATAAACATCATAATAAGCAATATGTTAATAATTAACTTCCAAAATATTAAGAAATTATAAACCTTCTTTGATGTTCAAAATTCTACCTTTTCTGTAAAACTTCTTATAAATCTTTACAATTTTTTTTTTTCATTTCAAATTCCAATTTTGTGAAACGTTGAATAAAAATTAGAAACTACACGGTTAAACTTGTTCATTTTACTTACTGAAACATGACTTAAGTTGTTATTTTCAATTTTTATGACAATAGGTTGTTTCATCAGTTTTTAAAATATCCCATTATATGAAATAAGTATGAAAAATTAAAATTGCGTGGTTAAACTTTTTCATTTACATCATATAAATAGAACTTTTTGATTAATTTGTATCGATTTTTGATAAAAAGTTTGAACTTTAAGACTTAAAAATAGCTATTTTACTAAGGTTTTCAGAAATAGTTTGGATTTAAAAAGAACCTAACATTTTTGAATGTAAAAACTTTATTTCTTTGATGAACTTGATTTAAGACATATATAGAAATCAGCCCATGACGTAAGGATGATTTACAAGAATATTCTTCCGAAAAAATATAGGAATCTTTTTACACACAAATCCTGAGTGCATATTTCTTTTTAATAGACTTAACTTTAATAATTCTAAGATTTTTGAGGAATGTACTGATTGTGATTTTTTCAACCTCAGAATAAAATGACATATATCTATTCAAAAAATCATTGATTAAAAAAACTGGTCTCTCACCCCCATAAGTCCAGTCAGCAAACATTGTTCCTTCCTGTTCACAAAGCGCTGGGTCGACTTTTTCACCAAACGACTTAGACATATCTATCACTAGTAGATAGAAAGCCCTCTGCTTGAGATACACCTGATGACAGGCGTAATATGCACACTGTCCTCCAAAGTCCATGACACTCAAAAGTTGCTTCCCTTCCTTATTATCTGTTTCCTCTGTAACAGCTAAATTTGCAGTTTTAAATGAAAAAAAACTTATTTTAATGTAGAAATATCAAAATGATCTCGCATTCATATTGAAATACACGAATAGTTTTTCGAAAATAAAATTATTAAATAGAAAAAGAATGAAGTAACAATTATCCCCTTTTTTAATTCACTATCTATTGTGTCTTCTTTTGAAAATTTCAAGGCAATTGGATACTTTTTGACAGTTTCCTCATCAATTGAAATGGGAAAGTGATAAACACAACACACAAAAAATGAAGAAAGTATTGTAGGGGGTAAATTTAAATAGTTTTGTATGTGCTGGAGTGTAACCAGCTGAAAATAAAATTAAAAGACATTTAATTTAGATAATTATCTACAGTTTAGGATTTACCGAGAGTAAATTTGGTTCACAGTTTCTGTGCAAATGCTACCGATCAAATCGACAGTGTTCAAAATATCAAATTTTCATGCTTTGAAATAGTTTATTGTTGTTATTACCTAAGAACATTTGCTGCTTTTGTTATGTAACGGTTCTTGGAAGTATGAACTAAAAGATTTTAAAATTAAAACTACATACAATATCTTTAAACAAATTTTAACTGGAAAATTTGACAACCGCGAGGCGATCGTCAACGACATGTATCTTTTTATGAAGCGATCGTACAACATAGAAATAGCGATCGTACAACACACGAAATAAGAATAGCACAATTCAGAGAATCTTGTTGTCAAAAAGTTTATTAATTTTGATATACAATAGATATTTTACATTCAAATTAGGCAATCAATCAGTCATTGTTATACCACTTTAAATCTTAAATTTTTCCTACATTTATATAGAAAATTGAAATTAACTGCGTAGATTAAAGAGATACAACTGAAAAAGAGTTTGATGGCTAACAAATATGTAAAGTAGATTTTTTACCTCAATTTTCATAACAGTGTCACCCCCCACCCCCCAAAAAAACCCTAAATATCTTAGATGGTTTATCATGCAAAGTGTAAGTAAAGGAACATTTTCTAAACTTAAGATTCAATTTCGGAAATGTGGTGTGTGGGATGGCGGGAGGGGGTGTTATGATTCAAGTTCTTGAACAAACAAATTTATCCAAAAATTACCAGCTGCCTTACCCGGATTTGACTACATACTGCAAAAGGGGGACAACCAGTCTATTGGTTTAGCCCCCCCCCCAACTTCAAATTAGCCCCCCCCCCCTTCAATTTGCTTCCGACGTCTATGAAAGTAAAGTTTTCACCCCACCCCACCCCCGATTCTACATTGTACATGTGCGTGCATGATATTAAAATTGGCAATTAATTTTTAAAAAAATAATACTAATAATGATAACAGTTTTCAGTAAATTAGAAAATACACTGTAATACATATAATGCTGTTATATTAAGGTGTGCGTGTACAAAACATTTTTACTGAAAATATTCGGTAAAGTTGCTAGGTATGCAAATTCCTTTGATCGTTATTTTTATAGTATTAATACATATCTTTTTTTTTATTTTCTGAAAAAAATTCAGTTTTTGATATGTATGCCAACTCCTGTAATTGAACTGCCATATCATAGACAATAAAACCTTTCTTCTATATTGCTAAAATTCGGTCCTATAACACTCTATAGGTGTCTGTTTTAAACAATAATCAAATAATATCAAGAATTTAAGGTTCCATGGAGTTTTAAATTTTGTTCTCTTAAAATACGGACATTATTCAACTAATATACAAGATAAATTCGCTCTTTCCCTCTCGAAAATCAAATGCTCGGTATCTCGTTCTATTTCGACAGACTTTCCACCCATACCACATAGCTATCTATTACTTTATTTCATTAAAAGTATTTTATAAATTTCAAGTTGCACGATCGCATGTTTATCATATTTTCTTTGTTGTACGATCGCATATAGAGTCGTTGCCGATCGCCAAAACGTTTGGCATGTGTTCACTTCAAACCGTTATTTCAACGCTTTCTATTTGATGAAGAACTTCAAATCGGATTTAAAATTTATTATTTACCTATTTACAATTCAAATGTGCCTTTTGGACTGTCGGGTATACGTAATAAGGTAAGAAATACCACTTAAACGAGCTTCATGTGTCACGTTAGGGCAGTCATGTTCAAGGAAAACTTAACTTTAACATAATATATGGCGATTTTTAATGCTTAGAGGACTTTTATGGTGTTAAACATGTCTAGTGGCATTTAAAAAGTCAGAAATGTTGAAGGAAAATTGCGAGGAAATAGGACAAAATAATGTTTTATTTAACCTCATCTTCCTCATGTAGTTGAATTTAACTATCCGCGTTGCCGATCTCATCCGCGTTGCCGATCGCGCGTTGACAGGGGTGTATAATATTGCAAATGAATTTATACAGTGTGAGAGATCCTCGCTTGATTGTGCAAACATATTTTGCTTTTTGGAGTTTAATTTCTACAACACATGATCGACGTCATTTTTTGACGCGATTGATTGTTCACACCTTGACTACAAATCGACATTACTTGTGCATCCCTTTTCTCTCTGACTCTCTTTTGGCATTAAAAAACAAGTACTCTGGAAAGCATTTTATTTCTCCGTAGCCAGTTAAAACATTTTCTAGGTCTAAACCAGTTCTTTCATTGGCAAAACTATACAAAATGTTGGAAAAGGAAACCGTCATTTTCAAGACCTTATTTGTTTGGACACGCCAAGTAAAATTTACGATAAATTTTCATAGAACTTCTAGAATGAGGTAAAAATTCAATATTTTATGGAAAAATAGTGTCCCAACACATACCCGAATTAAGGGGATTTTCGGATGTCAAATGTTCATATCAAAAGAGTTTTTCTCAATTACACTAAGGTCGAAAAATCGTAGTGTTTGAGGTTGCGCCGCTTCGACATACCATTGCTTAAAAACATTACTAATTTATTCAGTGTTATTAAAAAAATAAATTTATGATTTGAGGATTATTCTTCAAATAGAAAAGACGATGCTTACTAGATATTTCAAAATTCAGTGATGTACCTAAAGCGGTTTTAATTTTATGGCGCTAGTCCACGAACTTTTTGATTACCACTCGTTCTTATCACCTGATAAGGGGTTCACGAGACACTGTGTAAGATAAACATTGAATGGATTTTTTCTTAGATAATTTTTTTTTTGGTTGAAAAAATTTAGAGTATAAGAAAACATTCTATTTAGAAAAAGAAAAAAAACCCCATTTTTTTCGCAGACGCAAAACGGAAAAAAGGTTATATGAAATAATTAAATAATATTTGTCTTTCAATGCTGAAACCACATTTTGCAATGTGTTTGTGTTATGTAATATACATGGATCTCGATCTCTCTCTCTCTCTCTCTCTTTTAAATTTTCTAATTTTCATTTTACATTTTCTCAGATGCAAACGGGGAAAAATGTATGAAATAATTATTATTTGTCTTTCAATGCTGAAACCACATTCTACAAGTTGTTTCTTAAACACATTAGCATATAATATATGAAATAAAACCCTGGTTTAACAAACTTTCTTTTTATACATTTGTATATATACATGTACCTGAAAATCTTCGTGACATTTCTTTTATCTTCCCTGTTTGTTACTTAAGAATAATCTCTCTCTCTCTCACTCTGAATTTCAATATTTTTTTCGTATCATTATGACCTTTGAACTGTCCATATCAACTCGATTTACTTGTGTGTGAACCCTGTGGGGAGCCCCAGTTCCGGTCATTGACCAATGGTCAAAACTTTAGACAGTGTTGGATATCCAAGCACCGAGGCAGCGCCAGAGCAAATATATTTGAGTGAATAATGACGACTTGGCGATGCTCTTTGACATGAGTACAGGTGCGCTAATTAATCAACATTTAAGTATTCTGCGCGTGTGCTAATAATTACATGTAGCATTTATGAAACACAAGTGTGCCGAGTCTGTAGTGGCGATTTATCGTAGAGGCGAGTAAGAATCAATGAACGTTAACACTGAGTGAGCTCGGTAAGTGTTTTAATAATTAGGTTACTTGCTCTTCTCTCTCTCCATGCCCCCCCTCTCTCTCTTTCTGTCTCTCTATATACCCCTCTGCCGGTGTGAAAAAAAATCTTTACTTTGGGTACCATGGTAACATTTATTCTTGAAAAGTTGGAATTAATCGGTATTCCACACTATGCTTTCTGTAGAACTGAAGATGTCTAGCTTTATTGTACATGTAAGTATGTAATCTATAATTATGTTTCAATCTGATCATACCGATAGCACATATTAAAAAACTACATTATTACTAAATTATAATCGGTGATACTGATGTAATGACGAGTTTTATAATTAAAATTTACCTATTTTTACCTGAACACAAAAATACGACTCAATTGTGCCTTTCCTCTTTTCTTTCACGTTTATGATTATGTACACTGATTGTGACTGAAATCTTCATACCGTGTATTTGATTAATGACATAACTGAATTTATAGATTCTGTTATAACCCGATAAAGAAAGGACAATGGGCACTATGACCCGCTAATTCAAGCCGACAAGACGCTTGGTCATCGAAAATTGTTGACCTAGGCGCGTTTCTTATTCCTTACCACGTACATGTATATGGGTGGCTTTGTATTTAATATTACAAAAGTTATGAAAAATTTACCTAAAACAATTTACAAGCAAGGGAAAATTTCTCAACAAATTTCTTTTAAAAGCAACTGAAAGATTATGTATATAGGTTTAAGTGACACTTTACACTTATCTAGAGTATGTATATGTATGGAAATCGATTTTCTTGTTATAAGACACGTTTGTATCTATACATTGTAATTACATATGATATTACATATATATTACCGGGTATATGTACACAGCGGCGGATTTAAGGGCGGCGCCCCCTAAAATTGTCAAAGTTAGCATAAAACAGTTTTGTCGAGAAAATGTTTAAAATGTCTACTCGGTAGACCTCATTTTACCCTACCAAACCTCTAGAATCCATGAGCTTCCCCCCCTCTTAACTTCAATTCCTGGATCCGCCTCTGGTACATGTATATCAACATCTTCCTATATAGTAAGAGGATTGAAGTTACACTGTTTTCAAAGACAAGGAAAGTCAAATATTATTAATAAGATCAATAAAGTACAGAGTTACTGTAGCAACTACAATTCAAGATTAAACTACGCATACAGATCGAATCATCTTTTAGTAATCATTTATATGATCCCTCTTAAAAAAAATCAACTCCGAGAAAAAATAATCGCATACTTGCAGTAATAATGCTAAGCCTTAAATGTTAAAAATTGATTAAAATTGAAAATATCATAATAAAATATAGTTGTTGAGGAAAGAAAATAAAATGGAATGAGTATTAAAGTGATTTCCTAGAGGTTTAAAGAAGTTTTGAGTCGGACCAAATTTTAATCAGTATAGGATGACAGAGGCCAAATTAATTAGGACAGTTTATTTTGATAAAATTTGCCTTGACAAGATCAACATAAGTACACTTTATTGTGGTCAGCAATGTCCAATAATCTAAAAATTTTATTGAACAGCCATATCAATGATATCAAGAGGGTGGATGGAAATTCAATACATCACATTAAGCGATTTTCACTACGCCTATAATAATTGGCACAATCAATAATCTTACAATTCAGGTCTGTAAGCCTGATTAATTATGGACGAAGAAGTGAGGATAACATTGGCGGACAACGAGATCAACGCAGCAGACGAATCCCAGGACGACGCCGGACAGCAGGCGACGGGAGGAGTGGCGGGAAACGGGACTCAGAAAATAGAACCAGACGTCTTCATCCTGATGGGGAAGGACGTGAGAGATGATCTGGTCGATAACGACGAGAGGAGCGACTACGAGGAAGATGATGACGAGGAAAGTGACGATGAGCCGCTGCGAGATAAATTTATTTTGGAGGAGCACCAGGACCCCGCCTCTAACTTCCCAAACACAAGGGCTGGGTAATCACACGTTTTTGATCTGATATATCAATTGGTGTTTAGAGCCCAAAAATATACAAGCATTTTTGTTTGTACATATTTTCAGATTATCAGTCATAAGCAAAATGGCCATTATTAATAAAGCATCCCTAATAGAATCCATGAGGTATTTAACACAAGTTACGTCTTAAATTCCCTATAGGGTTACAATCTTAATTTCATTCAATGCCTAGGATTTTCATACTTTTACGCCCATCATACATAAAAAAAAATCAAGATAAATAAAAATGGCAGCAATTGATATATCGTCCACCAATGATTAAAACACATTAGTTATGGATAATACATCATCCACTAACTCTACTTTATTAAGTGTTATCAACGTAGCAAGCATTATGCTGATATACATGATGTATATAGTACATTATAAAAAATTAAGCTGCTTTGTACTTTGTCCTTATGACCCTACAGTTATAACTTCTGATGAGCCTTTTTTCCTTGTTTGTCAAGGAAGTTTGCTTGGAAGTATCCCCGAAACTAAATTGCTTCCCACGGGCCTGCAGATAGTATCAATTGGTGAATACAACACATATTCTTGGTATTTGAAAAAGGGGGATAATTCCATTTGTATATATATAAATATAAGTATACCATTGTTAGATATAGTTATGTCTTTCTACAGGAAAGCTCGTTATATGGTGGGTAGAGTTATGGAGCACATAGCCTTCCACCTGTTGACGATTCTGCTGATTCTGTTGGACGTCTCTATAGTGATCACGGACTTAGCGGCGGGGGAGGCGGCTCACCATCACGAGGAGTTAGAAATCTGTAGCAGGATCATCATCATCTACTTCACCATAGAAGTCATGTTCAGGATCTTTTATAAAGGGTTAGACAGCCTTAAATTTATCTGAAAAGAAATGGAACTGTTGATTAAATTTCCTCTTAGCATCCTACGTTTTGTTTCTGAAAATTTTAAGAATAAGGACGCTTGGTAAAAAATTGAATGCATGAAGTAGTAAACTAGTGTATTTTTTGATTTATTTTGGTGGCAGATGAATCAAATATTTAACTATTAATAAATTATAATTTCAAAAATTACCTTCTCTGATATAATTTTTTTTTTTATTTTTTCACTTTATGGGGCATATTCATTGAATGTGAAAAAATGATATGACTTAACTTTTTTTTATATTTACTTCTTTATGCATAGATCATGTAGATTTAGTATCTCATTTCCTGATTTTATAAATTTCAATAGTATAACTGGCTCTATTTTAAGATTCTGAGTATTTTCTAATTTAGATAAACCGGTTACATGTACTTTTTTATTTCAGGGATGACTTTTTCCGTCATTGGGCTGATATATTAGATATGATTGTTGTGTTTGGAACCTTTATTATAGACTTCACTCTAAGTGGCTACGCACGGTTTGTATAGTGTTGAATTCATTAAAACAAGCATTGTCACAGGTTTATAACACTAGTATGTACTCAATTTATAATGAAAAAACCCGCCTGTGTTTATATTGACAGATAGTTTGATCTGTGACTGCATTAAATTCTCGAGACAGATTACAATGTATCCCTTTTCCTTTACTTTCTTTTGTGAAAAAAAAAACACATTTATGGATTAATTTTCCTTTTTCAAATGTGAGCAAGTGGGAAAATTGGGATAAATTTATTACATTGTTTCAAGCCATTGACATTAATAAAGAAAAAAGATTGTACTTTTTAAAGATGATTTGATAGGTGTTAGTTAAATTGTTGAAAGTGTAAAATTTTGAAAAAGAGGGATAACCCTTGAAAGAATAATTCATTTTAATTAATGGTAAAATAAAGATTCTCTTAAAAGAAATATTTTCTACATCTCATTTATTATTTTCTTTTCATATGCTTGATGATGTTGATGATTATGGTGATGATTTAGATTAAGTATCATTGGACGAACGGTGCGGATTATCCGGGGATTGAGAGGTGTGTACATTATGTACTCGGAGTACCGCATGTTTAAGAAAGCCACAAGGAGGGTCGTGTCCCAGAACAAGAGAAGGTATAGGAAAGAAGGCTTTGATCTGGACCTCTGTTATGTTACAGGTAAGTTACCCCCCCCCCCCCCAATTATATACAAATGTGATTCTCATAGAAAACAATATAAAAGTGGGATTTGAGTTAGATATATGACATAGTTAGATATGATACAGCAATACAAAACAACAACCTCGTATCTTACACTGTTTACTGTAGCATTTGAGTTTTTGAGTTCATAACTTTTTCAATTATTATAACACCCCCACCACCAGCTCCGAGGATTTATTCAGTTCTGGATTTTTCTTTGTATTAAAAGTTTAACGCCATGCCCCCGTGTACGTTAAAAAAATTATTTTGATTATGAATGTCTTTTTTCAGAGCGAGTGATTGCCATGTCCTTCCCCTCCTCAGGCGTACGGTCTCTGTACAGGAACCCTATCAGAGTAAGACCCCCGTAACTCTATATAAAGTAATTATATTGTAGTGTCCTGAATTCACACGAAGAGTTTATTATTGCTTATTTTGCAGACAAGAAAGGCTGCCAAATTAAAAGCATTTGCTTTATTTTACGATAACAAATCTCGTAAACACAAGAAATAAATAAAACAAAAAATCAACGCAAAATCAAAGCTTTCAAAATTTGACGTCTTCAAATTACATGTAATCTGTAATATTAAATATCTCGTGTATAAACGAATCTACGGTACGTATTTCAATTCTCAAGGAGTACTAACTTTATAATAATAACTATGTATACATTCTACAAATACTATCCTCAACATTTTAAAATATGACCTTTATTATTACGTGCACTTTCTCGCATAATTAAAGAATGGCCCTCCTCATAATGGACTTCTATCAGTTTATGTTGTTGTGAGTTTACCACATATAAAAATGCCTACATCTGTTTTTTTTACAGAAGGTTGGGAAATTTTTGGATAAGAAGCACTCCAACCACTATAAAGTCTATGACTTGTGCAGTAAGTAATGATTATTTAAAATTCACATGTTGATGTTCTCTTTGAAATTCTCTTTGTCTCTCTTCCTCCTTCTATCCTGGGCACTATATTTATCATACAATATTTCTAGGTGAACTGACATACAATAGAGATGTTTTCCACAACAGAGTCGAAAAAGTTAGAGTAGACGACCATAATGTTCCGAGACTCAAGTAGGTGGCAAAAGGAGGTTCTTTTTGTAGTTAATAGAAAGAGAAAGAGAAATTTTCAGGGAATATTTCTAAATCATTTGATTTTTAAAACGTTGTAGGGATATGATCAACTTCTGTGAAGATGTTAAGGACTGGTTAAAAGCAGACGAGAGGAACATTATAGCTGTCCATTGTAAAGGTGGAAAAGGGCGAACGGGAACCATGATATGTACCTGGCTGATCCATACTGAATTATTTGAACAAGCTCAGGTATACACTTAGATACTAGTAACATAGACCATGAGTTGTACCTGGCTCATCCACACCGAACTATTTGAAAAAGCTCAGGTATATACTTAGACAACAACCATGACATAGGCCATGATTTGTACATAGCTCATCCTTACTGAACTATTTGAACAAGCTCAGGTATACACTTATGAAATATCCAAATATGAAACAGATGTGTCAGACTCTGTGGTATCTTTTATCTCAAGCTCACCAGGATATATCGTATTGACATAAGAATGGAAATTACAATTGTTAATTGACAATACGTCGTCGATATATCTAAATGTCGAGTTGAAGGTCACAGCAAATGTTTTCTTCTTTTCAATACAATCAATCAACCCTCCTTGCTCATTGAAACACATGATATGAAATATATGGGAAAAAACGTACAGTATTCAAGCTCAGAAGTCCACAAAACAATACAAAACAGGAGCAGAGCAAACATGGACCTCCAGGACATCAGATGCGGAATCAGGTGCCATGGAAGTGTGAACATCCCAATTTGACTGGTCACTTCTGCTTTGTGCACCTTGTATAATTGGAAAATAATGAAAAAATCCGTTCACAATTTTTGTTGTTCCAACATTATGACCTAAGAATTAGTATGAAAAAGTCAGTAAGCATTAATTTTGATTTAATGACAGATTGTATTTGCTGGTCAAGGTCATGTGCATTGCATCGACAATTGAACTTACGAAATTATGATTTTAAAACTATTTTACTAGGTCTTCTGAGAGAAAGTAAGAAGCAAAAATGTACTAGATTAATCCACACGGAACTGTCAGACCAAGCTCAGGTGTATACAAATAGATAACGGGTACTGTACTGACTCCGGACAGGAAATTAAAGAAACAACGTTGTAAATGCGTCCAATGATTTTATTTATAAGGATGATGAGATATGACGATGACAATGACATGGAAATATGACTTGAAGTTGAAGTTGACATGGAAATGACGTGAATGACGTTGACATAGATGTAGACGTAGAAATGACTTGGAAAATATGACGTATGACGTGGAAATAACTTGGAAATGACGACGATTTACTACAAAAAATACAAAGAAAAAATACTATAAATACAAGATATTTCAAGCAAGTTACACATAATAACACATCCTAGCAAATAATCATGATGTATTACATGTTCTAGAAAATACTTCAATAAACAAACTGTCGTCAAAATGTAAACAAAGAGGCATAACTCTTCTCGACACAAATCATGATAGAAAAACATGGCAATAAAAAGATTTATCTCCCGTACGTAATAAATGTGCACATATCCAGCGAAATTACAATATGTATGTCAATATTGTACCTAACTTACTAATTGCATTATAATTATTACTCCAACATAGTGCACAAGTACCTTCAACAATAACTTGATAGCCAGGTTCATAAAAATGCTAACTTTACCGAGATGACAAATATACAGTGTATACAGCTAAATGATTTACATAGAAAAACTCACCAATTAGAAGTTTCCTCCGGTGAAATAAATATCAGTACAAAGACTGGAAAATATCATAGTAAACTGGCAAACTGGTAACAATTGCGGCACCAAGCCCTGCCGCGTTCTGCCATGATAACACGGGCTCTACACAAAAAATTACTGTGCCCCAAAAACGATGACGTCACATCACACTTAAATGACCCTAAAAAGTCTAGTTACCGAAATGGCCGTAACAATCCAGCCCCCTAATTGTGGAACAAATGTGACACAATTACAAAAATAGATACATATATTATATCCATTAACCCAAAAATTGTATAAAAATACAATGCAAGTTAAACAGGTTACACTGCACTAAATTCTCATCAAAAAATGATATATGCACATGAAACATGATACCTAGCAAATTTAATACATGAAAGACGAATATTCATATATTCAAAGTCTCTTTGTAAATACATCTCAAACAGTCTCTTAGTCCATTTCTGGTATCATACACAGCTTATCGACAGGTCGCGTTAAAATGTTTGTCGCAGTTTTCACCTTGACCTGACGTATGAGTCCGTTTCTGTCAGGAATTGTCTCATGTACTACTCCCATTGGCCAAGAGTTCCTTGGGGCGTTCGAATCCACAACTAACACAATATCACCGATTTGAAAGTTTCTCTTGATATCGTGCCATTTTTGTCGTTCCTGGAGAAGTGGTAAGTACTCGCAAACCCAACGATGCCAGAACAAGTTGGCCATATATTGTATCTGTCTCCAACGGCGTCTGTGGTACAAATCTGTCTTATCGAAGACTCCTGGAGGAAGGTTAGGTTTCCTCTTCATCAAAAGCAAATGGTTTGGAGTAAGTGGCTCCAAGTCACTGTGTTGATCTGTGTTCTTTGTTATTGGTCGGTCGTTGATTGTATATTCAATTTCACACATTAGAGTATGAAGTCCTTCATCATCAAGTGTCTGCTCCTTTAGTACACTATTCATGGCTTTACGAATAGATCTAATTAACCTCTCCCAGGCTCCCCCGTAGTGTGATCCAGCTGGATTCAACCTTGTGTTAATGTATCTCCAGTCAGTTGGTTGTGACCCTTCGTGGATAACTGCTAATCTGTTTACCACAAAAGTATGAAATCTCGCCGTACTATTCTGAATATAACGTAGAACGGCCATGCTGTCGGTCCAGTATGTAATACGATGGACAGGAATGTTCAATTCTCTAAGTAACATCCTATTGGTTCTGACGGCTACCGTGGCTGCTGTCAACTCCAATCGTGGAATAGATGTTGTCTTAAGTGGAGCAACGCGAGATTTTCCCATAATAAAGGAACAATGACGTTCACCAGAAGCGTTCTCCATGCACAAGTATGACACTGTACCATATCCAGTTTCACTCGCATCAGCAAAATGATGTAACTGTACCATGAGAGGATGAAAACCATAAGGTTTCAGACATCTGTTCACTTTGAAGTCCCTCAATTTCTCAAGATCTTGGTACCAATGATTCCATTGAATAGCAGTGTCATCTGGAATCTTGTCGTCCCATCCAAGCTGAAGTTTGCACAATTCCTGCAGAATGATCTTGGCCTTGAGTAGTAGTGGAGCTAAGAATCCCAGTGGGTCAAACACACCGCTCACCATTGACAGAATTCCCCGCCTCGTAAGTGGTTTCCTGTTGAAGTCCAGTTTAAACTGAAAGATATCAGAATTCACACACCACTGGATGCCAAGGGCTCGCTCTACTGGTAGTGTATCATAGTCAAGATCCAAGTCCTTGACCTCTTTAGCTCTATCGGATTTTGGTATCGAATACATGACCTCACGACTGTTGCTGATCCACTTCGATATATGAAATCCCCCACTTTCCAATAGTCCCTGTAACTCTTTCACCAATGTCACAGCATTTCTTACAGAATTCACTGACTTCAGACAATCATCAACGTAGAAATTCTGAAGAACTGTCTTAATTGTCTCATCACTAAAATGTCCTGACCAATCTTGAGCTGTTTTTCGTAAACAAAAGTTGGCGCAACTAGGCGAAGATGTGGCTCCAAACAAATGCACGATCATCTGGTACTCTAGTAAACTACTGGAAGGATTTCCATCTTTCCACCAGAGAAATCGTAGAAAAGTAGCATCTTGTGGCGGAACACGTACTTGGTAGAACATGCTATCGATATCTCCCATCACAGCGATTTCCTCCTCTCTAAATCGCATCAAAGTCCCGATGAGTGTGTTTGTCAAGTTAGGGCCCTGTAATAATTGTTCATTCAGTGAAGTCCCTTGGAACCTCGCTGCACAATCGAACACAACTCGAAGTTTTTTCTTCTTGGGATGTAGTATACCATGATGCGGTAAATACCAAACGCGTCCATCATCTTGATTCAAGTCTTCTATAGGTACCTTTCGTGCATAGCCTTCGCTAATAATTTTGTCCATGAAGGCATTATAATTGTCATGGAATTCACTGTCACTGCAAAGTTTCCTAGCCAAGGAATTCAGTCTCTGTTCTGCTTGTTTTCTGTTGTTTGGCATTATCACATTTTCTGATTTGAATGGTAGACCAATGACATAATGTCCATTTTCAAAGCGAACTGAATTTGTCACAAAGTCGAGAAATCTCCTGTCTTCCCTTGACGGCTCTGGAACATCATCGATAGCTCTTTCACTAAAGTCATGATTGAATTGGTATCTCACTTGCTCCTCTAATCTTGAGTCGATGCGGTTGACTGTGACGTATGTACTGTAAGTACCATTCTCGGGTCTTGTATCTAGCGGTCCATTGATTACCCATCCTAACAGAGTCTTAACAGCGAATGGACCTTTGTGTACACTAGTAATCACATCCCATGGCTCCATTGCTTTCGGTACGTTGACACCAATCAACAAACCAACATCACTATCTATGGTGTCAATATGTACATCACGCAGATGCGGCCATCTATGTAGGTCCTCGGACGTAACAATGTCTTTCTTAGATATAGGCAGATCCGGTTGAGTGTATATAGGAGGTAAGTCAATTGTGTGATCACCATTTAAATCACTCACTTCAAGACCAGATAGAATGCTACAGTTCTCTGTCCTCTGCTGTCCCATGGTTGTTAAGTTAAGAACAGTCTTTTTGCCTTCAAGGTGTAGTGATCTTGCGATTTCCTCTGTACAAAATGTCGCTGTACTCCCAGAATCCAAGAAAGCATAAGTTGTAATAAATTTGTCACTGTTTCTTGATTTCAGACGTACTGGTATGACCGGAAGCGCTTGCCTCACTGAGTCGCCAGCCCCCATATGCGCTGTTGAAGAAACGGCTGCAGATGAACTGTTGTTGTTTTGATCGGTAGTTACTGGGTTTTCCTTGCCTTGTCGAGGATTCACGTGAAGTATAGATGGGTGACACTTCTTACAGTGAACGCAGTATAACTTGTGTTGACAGGCTCCCTTAAGATGTCCTGATCTCAAACACGAGAAACACAGTCCCTTAGACTTCAACACTTCATATCTGTCCTTTAGGGGTAGCTTCATAATGTTCCGGCACTCTTCCAATGAATGTGATGTGCCTTGACAATAAGCACATAGTTTCACAAATCCAGATGATTTTGGTCTATGTTGTTCATATGCATAATTGTTTGTAGATAGATGGGATTCCACGGTCTTAGTTGCAAAGTTCCCTTTCTGTTTTGAGAATGTGGCTGGTTTAACATTCTGTCCGTGGGTTGAAGATGTTGATATATTCATCACTTCTCTTCCATAAATAGGGTCGTTGGCCTTTTTAGCTTCCTTACGAACAAACTTCACTAAGTTCTCAAACTTCACAACTTCTCTTCTGTCTTTGAGCTCGTACACAACATTTCGCCACTTTTCTTGTAAGTAGAACGGAAGTTTCTTTATAATAAGTTTCATGTTCTCTGGATACTCTAGGGCTCTAGCGCTGGCTACGTTATTGACAGCATGCTGACACTCAGTAAGGAATATTGCATAGTCATCAAGTCCCCTTACATTGTCTTGTTTTATTGACGACCAATTCAATGCTTTTTTCACATAAGCTTGCACAACAATGTCTGGATCACCATATCGATCTTTGAATTCATCCATCGCTGCCTTATATCCGCCTTCAGCATTTAAGTGTGAATATCCAGTCACTATTCTGTTAGCCTCACCACTGGTAAATTGCAGAAGAAAGTTCAAACGTTCTTCATATGAGCTGGTATTAGCACACACCCTTGTATTAAACTGTCTAATGAATCTCTGGTAGTCCATTGGATTCCCTTCAAACTTCTGTATTTCTGATTTTGGCTTATTTAGTTCTTGTGCCACAATAAGTAGGCCTTCATGTTCATGATTATGACTGTGCGCATGTCCTGAATTGTACAAGTCACCGAATGTTGGTAACGCAGGTACATAAGGCGTACTATGTTGTGTCGACATAGGAATGTAAGGAATACTATGTGGCATACATGTAGTCACACTAACAGGCACATGTGATGAAGTACCTGGAGTCACAAATGGTGTATTCCAGTTCTGCTGACTTACAGTCCTTGACACAGATGTAAACAAAGGCGCATGTGGATTCAAGGTAGACTGTGTGGTAGACACAGGTACATGCAAATGCGGTAACTGCTGTGCAGTTGGTTTCTGTACAGGTGAAAACAAAGGTGCGCCATGGTGATGCAATTCTGCATGGATATCACTCAAAGCTTCGGTAAGCTGTTGGTCCCTCAATTCACTCCTTTCAAGTTCTTCAATAATTTTAGTTCGAGCGTCACTGATCTTTAGTGCTGTTTGTATGTGAAGTTCTTCTTCTTTCATTTTTAACTGTAGTTTGGCCTCCTCTATCTGTTTCTTTTCTTTAAGTGCAGCTGCTTTTGCCAATAGTTCTGCTTTATGTTGTTTTTCCTCAAGCTTGGCCACTGAATAGTTACTTGACTTCGAAACAATGGATCGTTTATCAGATGGAACACCTTTCGAATGTCTTGAAAACCATTTCTCGACTGATGATTTCACATCCGTTAGTTGTTTATTTCTTCCGGTGAATATTTCTTCATCTACCGTCTGCTCACTCGGAGGGATTAATGCTTTAACTTCTTCCTGGAGTTCTAGAAAGTCCTCGTAATTGTCTAACCATTTACTGTAAGCAGTTTTGATGGTGTCTTTATCATCTGACGATTCCAAAAGTCCTTTTAAATTATCACTAAGTGCTAACAGTACCTTGTAACATTTCTCTCTGTTGTTGAGCTTAGTCTCTAAAGTAAATTCAGCACCTTTTTCAGTCATCTTTTTCTTTCTTTCACTCCTTCTGGGCTGACCCTCCTGTGACTCACCCTCCTCTCCTTCCTTCATCTCATTTTCTAATTGTAAATATTTTGTACTGACTCCGGACAGGAAATTAAAGAAACAACGTTGTAAATGCGTCCAATGATTTTATTTATAAGGATGATGAGATATGACGATGACAATGACATGGAAATATGACTTGAAGTTGAAGTTGACATGGAAATGACGTGAATGACGTTGACATAGATGTAGACGTAGAAATGACTTGGAAAATATGACGTATGACGTGGAAATAACTTGGAAATGACGACGATTTACTACAAAAAATACAAAGAAAAAATACTATAAATACAAGATATTTCAAGCAAGTTACACATAATAACACATCCTAGCAAATAATCATGATGTATTACATGTTCTAGAAAATACTTCAATAAACAAACTGTCGTCAAAATGTAAACAAAGAGGCATAACTCTTCTCGACACAAATCATGATAGAAAAACATGGCAATAAAAAGATTTATCTCCCGTACGTAATAAATGTGCACATATCCAGCGAAATTACAATATGTATGTCAATATTGTACCTAACTTACTAATTGCATTATAATTATTACTCCAACATAGTGCACAAGTACCTTCAACAATAACTTGATAGCCAGGTTCATAAAAATGCTAACTTTACCGAGATGACAAATATACAGTGTATACAGCTAAATGATTTACATAGAAAAACTCACCAATTAGAAGTTTCCTCCGGTGAAATAAATATCAGTACAAAGACTGGAAAATATCATAGTAAACTGGCAAACTGGTAACAATTGCGGCACCAAGCCCTGCCGCGTTCTGCCATGATAACACGGGCTCTACACAAAAAATTACTGTGCCCCAAAAACGATGACGTCACATCACACTTAAATGACCCTAAAAAGTCTAGTTACCGAAATGGCCGTAACAGGTACTATATTAAAGTGTACGTGACTTGTACATGTGAAACTGTTCTAATTGACGAACTAAGTTATAGATTTTAAGAACTGTGGGTTGTTCTTGACTAAGATAGATTTCACTGTTTCGAAAAGTTTTAGGCACAAGTAATTTGCACCTGGTTTATGAAAAAATGGCGAAGAAAATCTTGAAAAGTGATCGATCTTTAAAATGCTACAAACTATACAAATTTGTGAATACTGCACAAAATGCAGATCACTGGATATTGGAGAGGTAGGATTAGGTGGCAAGGAAGAATAAGTGTCCTCCGCGACCTTCTACACCAAAATCCATAGTTTAATTAAGTATAAAACAAAGACATGCAAAATTGATATGAAATATCAAAATACGACCCAATGATAGGGGTATGCAAAAAAGTTCATTATAACGACTACAGAAGAAATGTTGGAATTAAAATTGATCGTAAATGGACTTTTGAGCTTGAATACTGTTTGTTAACTCCACATATTTCATTGTGCAGATTACTGTCAAATAAATTTTCAGTAGCCTTTTCCATTAAAATTTTAATCATAATCACAGTTGAAGTTGTTAAAAATAAAAGAACCTCTGTTGGAGCCAATACACAGTTCTTGACAGAATAACAGTTTTAGTTTTTGCATGCATGACAGTCTTTTTGTCTTTTTGAAAAGGAGAGCTTGAACTACTTTGGAGAGCGACGAACAGACAGACGGGAAGGAAAAATGTTCCAGGGGGTAGAAACACCTAGCCAGGTAAGCTACCCAAAGAGAAGATTTTATCTGATGTCATCAAAAAAAGTTTTGTGAAAGAGTAATGACGAAACGCAACATTGAATGAGTTCCTCTCTTGAATTGTTAGAAATGTTCCAAGACATTTCCATAAACGATAATAAGATGAAGTAAATAGCTCGTAGATTTTTTCCATTTTATGATGTGATTTTTAGAAATCAAACAACATTTTCATCATAATTTGCAATTGCATAGCAGTTAAATACAATCAATACAGAATTATATATCAAGCGATATAAAAGCCGTTGAATGAAGGGAATATTAATATCATTCAAGAAAAGTGCGTTGTGATGTAATTTTCATTTTGTATACTGTATTTAAAAAAAAAACTTGCATGATTTTGATTTAGTACATCTTATGCATGTATAGCATTATTTTGTAAAGATCTTTTCATAGTACATTAAAACATTGTCTCCATATTTCCTATAAAATCTGAGTTTACTTTTCATCTCAGAAGAGTTTTTTTCTATTATTGAAAACACAACATCAATATTTAAAGTAACTATCTTCTCAATCCTCTATATCTAGAGCCGTTACGTCGAGTATTATGAGAAAGTAAAATGGGATCTTGGTGGAGAGTTACCTCCCATTAGAAGAATCCGAATCTCTTCCATACACATTACTTCCATCAAAGGTAATATAAAACATTGAATTGAGTTGGATAATTTTGAATTTCTAACAAAAAGTATGTCTTTTGTTATATCAACTGTATGATTATCTTATATGTATCAAAATTTCCTTTTTATATCAAAGTTCTATAATTTTAGCAACAGAGGTGTTTAACAATAATGTTTTATGATAAATATATTCTTTTGTCTGTGTGTGTTCTTGTAAAGCTGTAGGAAAAATAAATTTTGGGTTTAATTAAGACAATTATGATCTCTGACATGATTTTCTTAGTGAAATGGGTTCGTTTTATATGTGAATAAAGACAAACACCATGTTGTCGATATGGATAAGTGTATTATCAGAAATATCACAGCTCTGAAAAATTATAAACAATATATTAAATATTTTATAACAATACATACATGTAGATCACTTGCCAGATAGCACGGTCAAAATGAAGAGAGTTATTTCCCTTAAATTGTGCTCATAGATAAAACATTAAGAGTTATCTTTCTTAATCAATAATATGTACAAAATATAAACACTGGAATTTATAGATGAAACAATAAGATCAAATTATATTGAACTCTTCCAGAATTATATGGATAATATTCAAAATATATATACATCATACCTATATGCGATATAAAGCCATTCTCCAAATATACAATATGATGAGTGAAATCTTACTCATTGATCTGCATATAAATAAAACACAACTTTACTGTATTGCTCTCGAAAATATACAATACACTGATATATGAAATCATTACTTTCATTATTTACAAAGTCATAAAATAATCACAAATACTGAATCTTCATACTTTATATTAGAGTATTAATATTTGGGAATTAATCAGATAAACAATTATATAGAGATAATGAAATTAGTAAAAGTCAACTTACATTCTGTCCAGTCTTGGTCATGGTCGTAATTAAGTCAATATAGACAAACAAATACACAAACACCAAAATGTCTGCTGATCAGACCAAGATCTCCAACAAAAGTAATTAACTAAGTTAAAACCAAAAGAGAGGGAAACCAAACCAACCAATGAAATCCAAGTTGGCCCTGACACTACACAAGATATAAATAGAAAAGGGACAGGGGTTTAAATGACCACTGTGATGTCATACATCTATAAATAACTCAATGAACACAGATTGATATAAATAATTCCATGTAGATTTATTCAATAAATGAAATGCTGAAAAGAAATAAATATGATAAATCAAATGAATTAATTTAATCCTGAAATATTATAATTAATATATGAAATAAATCACCCTATCACATAAGTATCATATCAAATTTTACATAAAAAAACGTACTTTTAATTTTAAATACGTACATTGTATGCATGTTTAAAGGAAATTATGGTAGTCATATGCATTGGTTATCTGTTGCATTTACTGAAGATTAAACGATTAGTTGCAGAAAAAAATGGAAGGAAACCATGTTCTTTTACATGTAGAAACTTTTTTCAGCTCTTTCGGTATATACAATATTTATATCTATTTTATTCTGGTTTGTTGTTATCAGGCGTGGGTAAGGGTAACGGGTCAGACCTCGGTCTCCAAATCTGGCTGGGGGACAAAAAGTGTGGGGAGTGGAAATTCAGCAATCCAGAGCACGTCAAGGTAAGTAAGTAGAGATTGAGGTAAGGTGGAGAAATTCAGCAATCCAGAACACGTCAAGGTAAGTAAGTAGAGATTGAGGTAAGGGGCTAATAGAGAAACCTTATTCTGTTATCGCCGTTTTACTGAAAAAGAAGTTTAGAGATTACATTAATACATTGCCTTATATGATATTTACAGTTAGAATACTCAAAAGAAGAGGATTACATTGACATTACATTATTACATTGCCCTCCTCTCTCGGAAGACGTCAAATGCCGTTTTATATCTACATCTGTAAGTCAATCAATTCAGTTTTTCTATGATAATTTCTTTACTGAAACAAAGTAATATGATGAAAAGTTTAAATATATTTTTAATACCTAACATGCATCATTTCTGTTTTCATAAAAGAATCATTTTCGTTTTCATACCGTATTTTTGTTTGTAATGGTGTTAGATGTTGAAAAAACTGATTTTTATAATTTTCCTCACAGAGAAACATTCCAAAAGTTTACGATAACTGCGCATTTTATTTCTGGTTCCATACTGCCTTTATTGAGAAAAATAGGTAAGTTTGAGTATAAGAAATATTTGTATGAGATTTTAATTGAAACATCTTAATAAAGGTCGTGCGTTCTATGGAATGGAAATATTGTATTCTTACTTTACAGGGGCATAGACACAGTTTCTCTTTTGTTATGTAAACAAGGCTTGTGTCATGTTTTTTTTTTACATAGGTCAAATATACTAATAGATGTTTGTTCAAAGCGGATTTTTTCAATAAAGAAGTTAATTACAAATACGATTAGACAGTTTCTAGTGATTTGCTGAATTTTGTTCTGTTGTGAATATGATATTTTATACCTGTGTTGTATATGTAAACAGAAACAAGGAACGAGTATTGTTTACATTATGAAAGATTTTAAGTTCTGTATTTCCTATGTAAATCAACAAATGATGTTCATATTTTTGCTGATCATTAGAACTTCCTTAGTAAGGAATTGCAAACATTAAAATTGTTTTTAAAAAATCTCAGTTGAAACTGTCCATGTCCCTTTAAGGGACCAAATCAGTATTTTTGAAGAATTTTCATTCAAATCTACAATATCTATATAATATTTTTTGACAAATCTTTCAGATGTAATTTTTAGCAGCATAATTGAGTAACCAATTTGGTTCTGTAGTTTGCATGGGAGTATACATTTCCCTGTCTTCAAAGAAATAGATTTCAAGCCTTACTTTCAATATCTGTGTTTGTATAAAATTATTAAAGAACTACACTTACCCATATGTAAAAATATTACATTTTACACTTTCTGCATATGTAAAATTGCTGCTGATTACATGTGCATTTATTTCTATGGTATATAAAATTATTTCAATTAATTACAGATTATACATACCCCGGGATGAGATAGACAATCCACATAAAAAACGAGCACAGAAAGCTTTCAGGGAATCCTTCAGCGTCACAGTCAACTTCAAAGGGAGATAACGTCTACCATGTCAAGGGAGGCCACTGTCTACTTACCTCTTCTTGATCTCATTTTATGACAAGTACACTCAGATTTTTATCGTGTTTAAGATTCCCTGTGAATTTTACTTCTCCATGCTCTTTGTTAAACTGGCAGCTAGATATTTCACTTTTATAGTATGCATATTTTTAAAATACAGAAATTACATTTTACAATTGACCTATTGACTATCAGGATGACTTGCATAAAAATTAAAAATGTTGAGAGAGAGAGAGAGAGAGAGAGAGTTAAATGTACTAGTTACTGTAGTAGTAATGTAAAATAGATATGTGATTTTTAAAATTGATATGTGAAATAAAATTCAGGGCATTGTTTGTAGATTTGTAATTAGAATATACCTAAACATTGATAATTTAGTATAATATTATATATGTTCAGTTCTCACTAAAACGAATGTATAATGTTTTTATAAGCATATTATGACCTTTGATTATATTTTGTTAAAAATAAAATAAAAGAAAGGTAAAAAGATACATCTTTTGCTCTTTTTGAGAACAGAACTATTTTTATTTTTCGTATATTTATAGATTTTTCACATTTATATAACGGCAAATGCTATAATATATAATCTTTTGGTGTAGCTGCTGAATCATATGTAAAATAAAGTAAAGGGATAAATCTCCAGTACATTTGCACTCAAATCTCCCCCATAGTAATGTAACTATTATTTTATCCCGCAAAATCACCATGTAAAGGGATTTTAGAGAATCTTAAATCTCAAAATTAAAATTAAAAATCAGTAATGACAAAATTTGAAGATATTGAACAGTAATCATCTTAAAAATTTTAAAACAATAAAACCCTTGTACCTTCCAGAGGTAGATGACGCGCTTAGGAGGAGTAAGCACCCCCTACTGACCGTTCTTTCTCACCATAAGGCCTATGTACCGAGCAAGTGGACGGAACATTCAACGAACAAATTTAGTATAAAAACAAACGCCTAACTATGATTTTTGAGATAAATTACGGTCCAATGATAGGTTATATTTCCTAACAAGGACATAATAACAAACAAGGAATTTACAAAAGCTAACAAACTGTCAATATGTAGGTTTATTTTTACACCAAACACATCAAATCGTAATGATAAATTTAAGCGTAGGCTTTTGATTTCAATCATAATCGACTGCTTCTTCAATTAAAAGTCCAATTTTCTTTATCCATTGATTGGTCCTGGGCAAATTAACGTTTTAGATATAAAAAAAATCAGCCCAAGTATACACAAAATTCCTTTGAAATTGAAAGATGTTGGGGTTCCTCGTTGACATTTTATAACAGTATGTTAATTTTGATACCAGGTCTTCCAACAAGCTGTTGGAATTCAGGTAAATGTTTCTTTTTTTGTTCAAATGTTTTCATATCCTTTAATCTAATTAAAATTTGAAGTTAGATCCGCTCGCACACTCGCTGCACTAACGTAGTATAGCGAGTATGCGAGCGGATATAACATATGATTGTAATTAGATTGCATATTCTTATGAATTATATTTTATTCGAAAACTTTTACATGAGAAGAAAAAAAATTGTTATGTCCTAATTCAACACAACTTTCACATATACTGATGAAACATTGCGTCAATTATTATCAAAAGTAATTTACATTCATATGTCGACTCGATATATCTCAGTGATCTCGAAATTTAACATTTCATTAGCACAAACACTTGATCTTTATGTATTATTTTAAATTAATGGATAAAAACACGAGGTATCTAAACTCCGAATGAAGTGGGATACCCCTATCTCCTGGATGGCAGAAAATGCATTGACAAATTCTTTATCATATTAAACGATTGAATAACAACAATATCATACTGTAAATCACTTTTTATTATCGAGAACTTAATTTTCGCGTAAATACGCGAGACGGTATGCTCGCGAACATTTCCTTTTCGCGTATAATAGAATTCCTTAAGATTCAGAGCAATGACCAAAATTCGTGAAAATTTTGTCTCGCTATTAAAGAGTCAATACGAGGGGTGATCAAAAAGTTCGTGAACTATCTCTATATCTATAAAACCACAATTCAGATTAGAATGAAATTCGGTTCACACATAGCAATACACAAGGTCTATAAATAGCATTTGCTGAATAAAGGTTTTCTCATTGTTTGTGACGTCACAATGTGAAAATGACGTCACTATGTAGGTCACTTGTAACGAAAAATGGTTGTCTCAGTCGAACTCGTTCAACAACCGACTATAGAATTTATTGTATATCTTAGAAATACCTCTGCACTATCCTATAATAATCTGTACACAGTTTATTGAGATATTTGAGTTCCTATAAATTCAATTATTGATTGGCTTGATCGTTTTAGTGAAGGAAGGCAGATGGTTAAAAATGATACTTGTCATCTTACCCAGTGAAAGCAAGTTTGAAAAGATATGTATTTTTAATTAAGCAATTTGCCATCAAAGACCTCCAATTAACAGTTTGAAAAATAGTTAAATATTTGAACAATAATGTAAGTATTAAATACCTAAGATATCATTTACTTTA